AACCACGTGAGGAAGCTCTCCTTGTCGATCTTGGTGGCCGCCAGAACCGATTCCATATCGTTGAGGATTTCGGAGCTGAGCGCCTCCTGCAGGCTGGGCATCAGCTCCTCGCCCTCCACCGCCATGCTCTCGCCCTCCAGGGTGCCCAGGTCCACGTCCGTCCCCGGGATGGCGTCCCCCCCCCCCCCTCTATAACCACGTGAGGAAGCTCTCCTTGTCGATCTTGGTGGCCGCCAGAACCGATTCCATATCGTTGAGGATTTCGGAGCTGAGCGCCTCCTGCAGGCTGGGCATCAGCTCCTCGCCCTCCACCGCCATGCTCTCGCCCTCCAGGGTGCCCAGGTCCACGTCCGTCCCCGGGATGGCGTCCAGGTAGTCCGGGAAGCGGCTGGGCTGCGTGCCCATGGAGCTCGGGAGCGGGTCTCCTGCCGGGGGCACATGGGAGGGGAGGGGTGAGGGGCGAGCACGCCAGCCCGCGAGTCACGGCTTCATCGCCATGTTGTTTTCCATTAGCCGTCGCTAGCACGATAGCCATCGTTCGCCAGTAAACACCGTAGTTTCAAAACAGACTTTGAAACGCCAACTCCAGTTTGAAACGCTTGCCATAGGTTGAAACACAAATTGGAAACCCTAACCCTTGTTTCAAATCCTACTTTGAAACCCTAATTCTGGTTTAAAATCCTGTGTTGAAACTCTAACCCCAGTTTGAAACCCTACTTTGAAAACCTAAGACTGGTTTGAAACTAAATTGGAAACCCCAATCTACTTTAAAACCCTCATTCAAATCCCTAATTTCAAATCCTGTATTGAAACCCTAACCCAAGTTTGGAACCCGACCTTGAAACCCAAACCCTAATTTGAAACCCTACTTTGAAACGCTAAACCTAGTTTGAAACCTTAATTGGAAACCCTAAGCCTAGTTTGACACTCTAAGCAAAAACCCTACTTTGAAAGCCTAAACCTCGTTCGAAACCCTATTTTGAAAACCTGATGTTAGTTGAAAACCCTAACCCTAGTTTGAAACCCTACTTTGAAACCCTAACCCTCGTTTGAAACGCTATTTTGAAACCTAATGCCAGTTTGAAACCCAACTTTGAAACCCTAACCCTGGTTTGAAACGACACTTTGAAACCTTACCCGAGTTTGAAACCCTAATTGTAATGCCCAACCCTAGTTTTCAACCCTACTTCGAAACCGTAACCCTGCTTTTAACCTTATTTTCAAACCTTGAATGCGTATGTGCCTTTAAAGGACAGGGACCTGGCATCGTGAGTGACGTGGGTGTCAGTGAATGAGTGTGAAGAGTTGGCTGGCCGTTTATGGGTTTTGCTTCGGCTTAATCGAGCAATTTGATGAATCGTTGCACCCCACATACGACACTGTCGCATTCCATTTCCGGTGACCCTCTCCGCGTCCTCACCTGTGTCCATTTCGTCCACGCTGTTGAGGAAGTCATCCGGAGTGCGAGGGACGCTGTAGCTGCTCATGCTCAAGCCGCTGTCTGTGCTCTCGTCCCTGGAGTGGTACGTCCCGCTGTGGGGCGCAAACGGGAAAACGACACGCCGGCGGTGAGAGTTCGGTATCGGCGCGTAAGGACGCCACAGTCGCGGAAAAGTCGCGAACCAACGGCGACAAAGAAGAGATGACATTGGACAAGCTGCACTAATGAGCAGAGGAAAAAATATGTGGGCCGAGTTCAGCGGCGACACCGTGAATGAGGCCATTGTGAGCGTTGGGGGTTGGGGAGCGGTGCCGGTGGGCGGGGGGAGATTAGGTCGGCCTGCCTACACGCTGGACCTCGTGCTCCCGGCCCGCTTCATACTTTAGCTCACGTCGACGAGCGGGGGCGCTACTCATGGCAAAAGCAGGGCGGCTTTTCTTGAGAGAGCGCATTTCATACACGAGGGAACTTAATGGGCGTCACGTCATTCAAAATACAACATTTAAAAGCATTTACTGACAAAAGAGTGAAAGCGCACACAGCGCAATAACAAGGTTTGGGAGGAGAGGGGGGGGGGGTATTTTCAAAGAGCTTGCGGCATAACAGCTCAATGCTGCTTCACCATGTTTGCTTTCAACTCTGGGGTCCACAAATTGATCCGAGTCTGCTGGATTTGCATTCCTTTTTTGTATTCCGCCGCTCGACCATTTGATGATTTATGGAATGATAGCTTTGGGGACCAACCTGTTGAGGAATGGGTCCGAGCTGTTGGCGGTCATGGTCCTGGCGTCCTGGGCCATCGGGGAGGACACGGGGTTGGTGCCACCGCCGTCTTGTTCCATGCTGGTGGGTAGCTGGTTCCTCAGAGCGAGCTCCTGCGGACCCCACCCCACACAGACGACACTCGTCATTGAGGGGCTTTTGTGCCGTGTTATGTCAGCTGCATAACTTGCTTTTTTTAGCACAAGCAAGTTTGTGTGGTCCTTAAAGGTTTATGACAAATTTTGAGGGAAAATTTAGGATGGTATAATAATCAAAGTGTTCGCCCGCCAATTTTTTTTTCGACACAGAAGTCTGCAGCAGGGTTAGAATAGTTGGGCTTTTTTTTTGTGAGTTTTTATTCATTTTGACTTAAATTCTGTTTTGATTTGGTTAGGTTTTTTTTTGAAAATTATTTTATTAAAAACTAGTTTTTGGTGTTCCTTTTTTTATACACAACAAAATCATCTTTATTTTTATTTTTTTAATTTATTTGTTTAGATTTAGTTTTAGTTTTTATAGACACCGCAGATGGAGTAAAGTAAATGACAATTTTCAAATGACTTCACATCTTCTTTATGGCCTCCCAGTACTACTAAATAAATACTTGTAAAAGCACTGTAGGCTATCCTATTCACAATTGTCCTTTGGTCCAATCAGGTTTTCTGTCTGCACACGCTTGGGTCACTTCCGACACTGTGAACTGGAAAGAGTCGTTGCGAGCGGCACTGTAAACAAGTCAGCGGCAGCCCTCGTTCATCATCGCCATAAAGCTGCGTGATATTCCAGTGCCGGGACGCTGCCTTGGGTAAACTCCTGAACTCTGAGGCCGCACCGCCCTGCGCGGAGGCGGCGATGTGTCACTAGGAAGCGGTCAAATTACCAGCGATGAGTCACGAGACTTCGTGGCAGCGTGGCGTAACAATGGAGGCCCATCAAAGCGGGGGTTTGAAAGTTTGAACCTCCGAGTGAGATGAGTCACGTCGAAAAGGTTACAGCGGATGAACTGCACTAAAACGAAAGCGGTTGCCCAATTACGCACAGCTCGAACAGACATTCGGGGGTGGGGGGAAACATCTGCATGCTCAAGGAGATGTTTACACGACACGCTTTTTAACTTAAAACAGATTCAGCTTGTCAAGACCAAAACAACTCTGGCGGAGCACAGCACCGCTTTTGTGCTTGTGGACGTTTACGGCGCTTCTTCGAAATTGCCCAATGGTCACATTCCTCCTTCCGTCCTCACTTTATGATGTTCCCGACTTTCGAGGTTAGGAACTCAGTTGCGTTTTACTCATTTGGATGATTTTTTTATTTTTTATTTTTTGCTTCATTTTGCATTCTTTTTTTGCTTTCTGTGAATATTTTTGGGGCCTTTTTTGTTTCACTTTGCATTCTGTTTTAGTTTGGGCTGTTTTTTGTATTATTTTTGCTTTACTGAGCTTTAATTGCATAATTTTCTCTTACCAATAGATCAGGCGTCACTCCATTAACACAATAGTATCGTTTATTATTTGGATCTTGAAAAAATATATATGAATGACTTTGTGGTAATTTTGGGAACTGCTGCATTATTTGACAGGCCCCCTGAATGTCAAATTCTAAACTATAGAACATGCCGAGAAGAAGTACTCAATAGATAAGACGCAGCAGTAAACCAATTACCCCTCCCGACTTTAGATTTGGTATAATTAAAAGCTCTGATATGATAGACATGCCTGCATAAATAAAGTCGTTTTAATTTTGGAACAAAAAGGCCTATTGCGTCATTTTTTCACCTGAGTTAAAAAGTGTTTTCTAAAATTCTATTGATATATTTTGCGGGACTTTTTCTGAGGAAAAAGAGTAATATCAGGAAAAAGAGTTGTATTTTTGAAATTCCCTTCCCTCGTTGAAACAATTTCATCTTCATAACCTTTCAACCTTTTTTCCTCTAGAAAATGAATTTGTCATTGCAACATTACGACTCGGGCTCAAACCGGTCCTCGAGTAATTTGAGTACCTCGGTTAAAAAAAAAAAAATGCTTGAGGCATTTTCTTCTGCCTCGACTACCTCCATATTTACGTATACACTGTGAGGAAGAAGAACTCGAGCTAACCGCAGCAACAATTATTCAAGCTATACATGATGGCAACACGCCAGCAACAGAGTAAGGAGGCCACCCTTGAAATAAACCTGTTACCAAACAATAGAGGGACATGGTCACTGATTGCCGTCGCCAACTGATGCTTCCGACAACGCAACGCTGTCCTGAAATAACGTTTGCTAATTAAGGGTGTTAAAAAAAAAAAAAAAAAAGACGATTACGCTGACCCGATATTGTACAGAGCTAGCAGCACTCGAAGCGCGAGCAACACCAGTAGCGCTTGACACGCTAGCCACGCGAGAAGTGCTAGCACTGCTAGCACCGCCTGCCGGGCTAGCAACGCTCAAGTTAATCGAACTAAATTTCTCTGTACACTGCGATGCTGACAGTGTGACACACAGTTGCCTTTTTCATAAACCAGACAACTGTGTGGTTTTAGCCGGCGAACGCTAGTGTGCTTCTGCTGCGACTTCGTCTCATAGACCAAAATTTACAGGGTAAGATTTCTCTTAATTCTCACTCGTGTTTCTAGAGAGCAAAATATTGTACTGGTGTGAACAGTTTGAATTGGAAGTACAAAATATTTTATGGCTGCAGCCGGGGCTATGAAATTTTCACCCAAAAAGGCGACTTTTCAATTTCCGTGGCATTTCGGAGTGCGCATGGCAGTTGTGTTAAATTGCCGTTTAGATTAAGAAAAAACGTCACCCATGTCGAACTAAAAATTTGAGAACCCCGGTTTAAGGGTTCCTTATCATTTTCACGTGGAAGCAACTTGCTCATGATTTTCTTCTGTCCCAGAGTGGATCAAATCAGATGTTTTTGTTTGTTTACATTTTTTTTGAATATGTGGAGATCGACAGCCCCAGTGCTGACCTGAGGTCTTTGCCGAAGTAGCTCCTGTTTCAGCCTCAGCCTCTCCTTCTCCATCTTCTGCAGCCTCAGCTGGTTGACGCCGCTGAGGGTGCCCGAGGGCAGCTGGCCGCCCTGCTTCACAGGCGCACTCTGGGAAATCCTCTGCTGGTTCAGGGCTGGGAAGACAGCGAGGAGGAGGGCATGGTTAGAAACTGAAAGCTTTACACCATTTACACGACTGCAAAGTACTTTCTTACAGACTACGGTTACATCTGACAGTGCCTGCGTAACATTTTTCATCCCCACAACCACGGATTTGAGTTACCACTGTTATGTAGAGTAATGCGTCACTATTTGCGGGTCCCAGCTGGCACCGAGCCCTGCCGCGAAAAGCGAAACATTTTTCATGTTCATAGTTTAAGCTGTAAATGTATCCCGATACATCGTGCTGTTGGAATATAAACAGTGTAGGATTTAGAGGTCAGCAAACTCGGGGCAAGTTCAAAGTAAACATGGTGCATCAGCATTTAGCTGTTATGCTGCAAGCAAATGGAATAAGCTGCCAACAGAACTGAAGTTTGCCTCAAGTGTAAATCCAGGTTAAAAACTATCCCCCGCCCCATATCTACTGTATGATTACAGAGCATTTCCAGAATCAATTTTTTCCAATGTTATGTCGATGTGTTCATGTATATAAACTACTTTTTTTCCTTTGCTTTAAAATGTCTTAAATTATTCTGTTTTTAAATATCTTACATTATTTTGCCGTTAAATGTCGCCTATATACAAAGTACAGTGTGTTGCTTTGTAAATTTGTGCAGCATATCGAGTTACCTTGTCGATAAAAGCCTTGACACTGACGGCTCAAGCGAAGGCTGAAATGACAGCCGAAACTGTCAGCTCGGTAATAATTTTCGTTTCTTCACTAAAAAAAAAATACAGTTGTCTGACGAATAAGAAGACAAGGTGAACATCATTGCACTACCCGTGATGACGTTTCTCTCCAATTTAAAAATGACACTGTCAGCATCCCCACCCTACGAGTCGAGCGAGAGCCACCCTTCTACGCCACCAACGCAAGCCTCTTTTGACTCTCTCAGAAGGAAATGTTACTAAATGTTTTGTATAAGGTTTTAGAATTAAAGACTGAAGTAGATATGATATGTGTACTATCTCAAATATGTAAAGTAAAAACCAATAGAGGGTGCTAATATACAGCGGAACAGCCGTGAAGTCCCGGTTCACACTTAACTGTATGCAAACATTCCAACCACATACAAACATGAACATTCCTGATTAGGGGCAAATCCCACTTCGTGGTTTTCCATTTTTTTGCCGGGGAAGGGGGGGGGGTCCTGCGGAATCAATTAACCGCAAAAAAATCAGGGACTACTGTAACACCATGCCTTTTGATTCTATGTGTTAGCCTGGCTATGGCATATTGCATTGTGTATTAGTATTAAGCTAGTGGAAGGCAACATTTTGTGGGTTATTCAAATACACAACATGTGATTCTCTTTGGTTTGACAGGAATCTTCAACTTTTCTCTCACGTCAGAGCATATTAAATATCAGCCGGACAAGGGCTCGTATCTTGATAACTTGTATGTTAGGTTAGTCGTATCTCAAGGCACCGCTGCAAAAAAAAAAAAAAAAAAAGCAGCCAATTATCATGACCACAAGCTTCCGTTTTGCGCACGTGCATCCGGAACCGCTGCAAAAATAGTCCGAGGATAATCCACGCTGTGACGTAAACAGAGCCAAATGTCCTTCGTTTCCTACTACGGCGATTCACAGAGTACATCTCTCGATCTTGTGGCAAGTTTGTGAGTGGGAAACTGTGTGCATCTGCGTGTGTGGCAATGCCGTCAGCGCCGGGTGACGTCTCGAAAACAAAACAAAAAAAAAAACGGCACAACAGGACTTACAAGTTCACCTCGCAACCTGCAGAAGGCTGGAGGTGAGCCAGTACAGCAGGTTATGTTGGCTACAGGAAGCCCCGGCGCAAGATTTTTAGCACGCGCAGTCCCGAACAAGCACAATTCCTGTAAGACCTGATCCCCGCCCACTCGCTGACTAAGACAGGCATTGTTGCTCGGCCACGTTGCATCAGTCCTGACTTATCCTGTTCATTGTGCCTTTTTGTTTCCGTCCAAACAAATCTGATTGGAGGCCTGCAGCTGCCTCACTTCATTAGGGAGCCTTGCGCAATCTTAGCCACATCCGGTGGCTCAATAAATCCCCAACCTCCCCCCTACCCCCCCGCAAAGATGATGCATGGGTTTGGATTGGATAATTTCTAATGACAATCCCGGAATCTTGTTGATTAGTATTGTTCTGACAAAAGAATGGCCTTTTTGGGGGCCTGAGCATGCAGTTAGACAAAAATTGACCCCAGCACCAGTTTCATCGATGGACAAAGTTGGGTGGACATATCTATGACAACAGGTTTGAACCTCCTAAATATATTTTCCACATACACCCCCCACCCCCACCCACCAAACAAAGGATGGGAAGAAAAAAAATATCAAATCAAATGAGTATTCATGGGTGCTAAGCTGCAAGTTTTTACGTTTTTTTTTTGTTTTTTTTTAATGGACCCGCGGGCTGCTCGTTGCCTCGCCATGGCCTACTTAGTGTCCCTAATGAAGTGGCCAGTCACCTTTCCCTTTGGCTGTGATTGTGTTTGGTTGTCAGTCAAGCTTGCAACGCATCATTGTTATTTTATGGTCTGTTGTAAGGGAAGGGATGGGGGTGGG